CAAATATCGATCTATCAATGAATAAAAATCTAATATATTCATCAACAAAATATCAGGGACGATTTGTCCCGTTTAACGGATGAATTATGCAGGAAGAGAAATCCTTACAAAGATTCGAAGTTTTATTTTCTTAGTCACGTATGGAACATCACGAAAACCGAAAGACTCGACATCTCAACTCGACCAACAAATACATACATACATACATACATACATACATACATACATACATACATACATACATACGTACATACGTACATACGTACATACATATATACATAAATACATACATACATATATTCACACATACATACATATACGTACCACGGGTGCACGTTTCGAATAAGACAGTCTTTTCGATTTCGAAAAATATATATGTATGTATCTATTTGTCTATATATAAACTATGTATACATGCATATCGACGCTGTCGAATCGAAAAGGATCATTTTTCTCGAATTTCCAAATCTATCTCAAAGAAAAGAAAAAAGAAAAAAAAAAAAGAAAGAAAAATAAGAACAAAGAATACAAAGTAAATACGAGGTTGAAAGAAAATTTAGTTTCTCTCGTAAGAAAAAAAAAGAAAAAAGAAAAAAGAAAGAAAAAGAAAAGGAAAAAAGAAAAAAAAAATTTTTTTTACATTTCTTTCCATTCGATTTATGTTCAATATTTAGAGAAAAGGAAAAAATAAGAAATTATATATCTTCGATTGTCAGTTTTGCAATCGCAAGAAAGATTTATTTTTTAATTTAGACTTAAAGGATATTTTTCTTTTTTTTTTTCTTTTTCTTTTTTTCGAAAGATTATTAAACATTTGTAATTATTATCACAACAAGTTATATAAAATCTACTATTCGATATCATTATCATTGAGATTGTTAACAAGTGGCTGGATTTGTGTTCTTAAAATATAAAAAAAAAAAAAAAAAAAAAAAAGAAAAAAAAAAGAAAAAAAAAAGGAAAACAAAAAGAAAGAGAAATTAACTTTTAAACCTTTAAAAGTCTCGTAAAAGAATAGGAACGAATATTAAATATCATTAATAAAACCCTCGAATCGTCTTATATCATCGATAATCGATATGCTCTATAAAATAAAATAATAAATTGACGGAATTCCTCAGTTGTTGTTGTTGTTGTTGAAAAGAAGAAAGAAAAAAAAAAAAAAAAAAAAAGAAAAGGACAAAAAAGCTGAATACGTTTAAAGGAGCGTGTGTGATCAATGTTGCAAGTAGTTTAACTAATTCAAACGTAAACGTATTTCATTCACCATGAGTGCTGACCTAAAGACTTATAAAACTTTAGTAGCACGAAAATTATTAACAGGATTTGCACGATGCCACGTTTAATATACCAGCGAATAATGCAAACGAACAAACAAACGAACAAACAAACAAATAAACAAATGTACGAATGTACGAACGAATGAACGAATCAACGAACAAACGTTATTAAGCATCACGATAATGTCGCTGAACGCGTTAGGTCGGAGCAAGCAAACAGTTTAACAATGTGTGCTCTTTGAATCGTTCGTTCATCCAGGAGAGCAGGATCGTTCGGACGAGATAACGATTACAAAACGACAACAACAACGAGGAATAGAGAGGAGGGGAGAGAGAAAGAGGGAGAGATAGGGAGAGAGAGAGAGAAAGAGAAAAAGATAAAACTCGGATTATAAAGAAAAACAAAGGACCATGAGCAGAAACGAGGCCGGTCCTGTCGAGTTTTCCTACTGAATAGCCTGATAAAATAATAGCAAGCCATTGAGAAAAGGTTTCCCTTCATTTCGTGTTCTACATTGAACATCTACATATATTTTTGTATATATTATATATATCTATACCTATTATACTTATTATATATATACGTGTGTGTGTGTGTGTGTTGGTGTATGTATGTATATATGTGTAATAAAGCTGATTGATTAATGAACATATTTTCTTTCCTTATGCTTCTTCTTCTTTTTTCCTTTTTTTTTATTTTTATTTATTTTTTTTTTTTTATTTATCTTTTTCCTCCTTTTCTCCTTTCTTCGACATTCTTTGGTAAATAACTTAATTAATTTATTAAAGTAAAAAAAAGAAAGGGAAAAAAAAGTAAGAAAATTAACGGAGAAATAAAAGGATAAGCCTATGATCAAAGATTCGATCAAATTGCAAATGACACATTTAAGATATCTAAATATCAGCTGATTATTGTAAACGCATTTTGTTTGTTTCGTGTTATCGTTAAAAAAAAAAAAAAGAAAAAAAAAAAAGAAAATCAATTTCTTACGTATTTATTAGGAAAAAGGAAAGAAGAAAAAAAAGAAAGAAAGAAAGAAAAAAGAAAAGAAAGACAACAAAGGATAAAAAAAAAGAAAGTAAATCTACGAGAATGTTACGAACGAAATATCAATTTAAAATATAAAAGGGAAAGATTTTTTTCAATGTAACTATATTGCATCTACTTCTATATCTATCGATTCTTATTTACCAACTTGCTCGAACGAGAAGGAATCTTCGAATAGACATGTAAAGTGCTTACGTATCTACCGACATGCATGCATATATACATACATACATATACATATATATATATATTATACACGCATACCTACATTTATGTCTGAGGGAAAACGTATTCCATGAAAAGGTGAACGATTTTCCGACAGGGTTGTAAGGTACTCTCGGAGTGCAAGTCAAACGTCTTATTCTGCGTGCACCGTTTAGAAATTCATGAAATTCGCCGCTAGGCTACATCTTCAATTTAATTCGAATATATATATATATATATATATATGTGTGTGTGTGTATAGACGTATAGTACATAGTATAAGCGATACATAGTACATTTGAAGTAACCAAAACGTATCGTTCTTTTTCCTCTCCATTTATCTTTTTTTTCTTTTTTTTTTCTTTTTTTTTCTTTTTATCTTTCTCCTATCTTTCAAGATAATCTCGAGTGAAAATAGTAATGGGAAAAAGGAAAAAAAAAAAGAACAAAGTAAAGGAAAGAATTTTTCAACGAACGTTTTACCTTACGATAATGATGATTAATTATTCGATTGAAAATTAATTAATGTTATATGTCTAATAATAAAATTAATATTCAATGAGTCTGTTGTGATAGCATATTATCTATCATATAATACATATATATATATATATATATATATGTGTGTGTGTATATATTTCTAAGCATGCAATAGAAAGTCAATTTTGCACTCTATAATTAACTATTAAATATACACATATATATATATATATTTATATATATATATATATTTTTATATGTATATATATATATATATTTATATATGTATATATTAGAAAGATGTTACGTAAAATAATAGAAATTTCACTTTCAATAAATTACACAGAATTGATGTTAAAAATTTTACATAATGTAAAATGTATTATACTAATATTCCTCACGCGTATACTTACATATACGTTTAGATTGCACTCTATAAATTTAAGTATACCAGATATATATATATATATATATATATATATATATATATATATATAGTAAAGGATATATAATTCATGTAAATAGAGAAGACGCAATAGATCGTTCCTTTATCGCTGATGCACTTATGTATTATATCTACGAGTTCAAATTGAGAGAAAGGAAGAGACTACCAGGAAGAATAAATTGAATAGTAATAGATTGAGAACGAGAGAAAGAGAGATAGATATATATATATATATATATATATATATATATATATATATATACATAAAAAAAAAAGAACCTGAATCATAGAATCAGAGATATAGCTGTCTTTCAAACTAGCAATCAATCCTCTCCATCTGATCGACGATGTTTCTAACCAGATTTTACTCTTCCCTGTGATCTCTCTCTCTCTCACACACACACACACACACAAACTCTCTATTTCTATCCCTATCCTTCTCTACATCTTCATTTAATTAATTAAACAGTTTCTTATTATTTAATTAAAATTATTAAAACATTTATCTTTTATCCTTTTACTTCATTTCAAATACACGATGGTATCTAAAGTTCCATGGTTTGTATTAAAACAAGAAAAGGAAAAAGAAAAGAAAAGGAAAAAGAAAAGAAAAAGGAAAATCAACTACTACCCTTTTCGCAAGATCTTTCACGTTAATTTTCTTTTTAACTACTTCAACTTTCATTAATCTACAAAATTCTAAGCTCGTAAGGACACGCGACTGGAGGAAAAAAAAAAAGAAAAGAAAAAGGAAAAAAAAATTTGCTTTAAAAAAATCTTATAATAGAAAGCGATTGGGTAATTTTTAAACATCTTCCTAAAAACTTTCGACTCTATCAAAAAATTCTTTTCGTTCATCCTATGCTTATATATATATATATATATATAAGCATAGGATGAATTATATTAAGATAGGATGATTATTTTAAGATATATATATATATATATATCTTAAAATAATTAATCGAGATGAAGGTGTCTTAAAATTGATATAAGAAAAATAAAAATTTTCATATATAATAATGAAGAAAAATAATATTCGGATTGATATATTAATAGTAATGTTAAATAAAAAATTGTATACGATCCCTTGTGAGAGCGTACGATATCGCGTCTTATATAAATTCACAATCAAGATATAAAAATGATCTATCTTATCCTATGTATTCTATTTTATTTATCCATCAATCTATATATCTATCCATTTATCTATCTATTTAACTATCTGAATCTTCGTGTGTTCTTCCATTTGGAAAATCGTCGAAATTTCAGCGGTTTACCATTGTTAGGGAAACATGGCGGCAATTAGGACATTTCCAGGCTGGTTATACACACACATACACGCACACACACATACACACACACAGAAAGACGCGACGTTTACGATTTCAGAAGGAGTGGGCCATCGAGAGAACAAAATGTGAGATTACTATCTTCGTAATACACACACACACACACACACACATATATATATATCGGTATATATATATATACATAAATGTATGTACTATGTAATAGTCTTGTATACGGGGTTACGTCTTACTTTCCTTTTGGATCAACCTCAGTCGCTTCTCTTGGATTAAGCACGAACCTTTCTTGCTACACCGTCATCCTTATCGTGATCACTTTGAACGATTACCTTCTGTACCTTGTAAAAGAAACTACTTGTGATATAGTGATCCAATATTTTCTCTTAAAAAAAAAAAAAAAAAAAAAAAAAAAAAAAAAAAAAAAAAAAAAAAAAAAAACTCCATTGAAATGCTTTCGAAAAGACTTTTAAGATTACGTCGTGTCATTTGTGTATATGAAATTATTTGTAATTTTCTTTTTTACTTTTAACTTTTTCCTTTTCCCTTTTTACTTTTATTTTTATTTTATTAAACAAGACTTCAAAAACGCGATCACTTAGCTTTATCAAACTTACAAGGATCAAATTTACATGGAATTTGAATGATTTTTTCTTTTTTTTTTTCTCTTTTTGATTTTTGAATGATTTTTTTGTTAGACACTGTGTTAATAGTAATTCTCATTTTTTTCTACAAATAGTAATAAATTGTCAATACCGATGTATGAGAATAAATAATCGAGAACGTAATGTCATATAAGTTGTTTTATCTTTTTTTTTTTTCCTTTCTTTCTTTCTTTTTAAAGAAACGAAATTTCATTCCTAATATGAATTCTTTTCATTTCTATTATATCAACAAAATGATATTGATTTCTTTTATTTTGATATGTCAAAAGAGAAAAGAAAAGAAAAGAAAAAAAAAAAAGAAGAAAGAGAAAACGATTGTCTGAAGATTCATAACGATAAGAATTTTTCGTCGGGAAAATTTTCTTTTCACGTCACAAAAAATTTAGAAATTCTCTCTTTTAAACTCTTCTTTTAAAAAAGATAACTTTCGTTACACGATCGAAAGGTTTGCTTTTCTTAAATATCTCCAGGTAGGGGATTCGTCTTTATATACATATATATTCATATATATATATATATTCATGGATTGGAGCTTCGTGCAAAAGAAAATCATTCGATGAAAAACTTCAATTGGGTAACGAAGCGTTAGTATAAATTCTTTCTATTTCTCTCTCTCCCTCTCTCTCTCTTTTTATCATACAGTTTTTCATTCTCACAAATTACAACGAATACTTGAAATTAGGACAGTGTCTGACGAATTTAGAAAAATTCGATATTCGAAGAAGCGATCTATATATATATATACATCGCTTATATATATATAAAGATATATATATATATAAAGATATATATGTACATATATAAAGATATATATATATATATAACGTACAAAATATCTATAGAGAAAGTACATATCTATTCGGTATCATAGGAAATACTTTAAGTAAAACTTATGCGAGCAAGGATGGTTTACCAAAGGGAATTTATACGACAGTACTTCGTAGAGCTTTAAAAGGGATCTTCTCTACTGAATACTTACGATATACTACTTCAAGTCAAAAGTTCCTTCCTAACAACCTCTCCTCTCTCTCTCTCTCTCTCTCTCTCTCTCTCTCTCTCTCTCTCTATCTATCTATCTCTCTTTCTTTCTCTCTCTCCTAATAATTTCCATAACATTTAACTATGATATTCGACTGAGAGAATGAAAGATGTTTATCCATCTTGAATTACTCACTACGACGATTTAATTATCTATTTATCTATGCACAATTAATCAATCGTTTAACGAGATTACGATTGAACAAATAACAAAAATATTTATCTAATATAACGACGTAGTATCGTGTCAACGACTATTAAATTTTATAAATTAATCGAATTAATCGTAAGATAAATTTATTTATATCACCGATCCGATTAAATAAACTAATCGGATTAATAAATTTGTATCGTTTGAAAAACGATCTTTCATGTTACTTATTTAATGGATGTCAATGTTCGAAAAAGAAAGAAAAAAAAGAAAAAAACCGCACGATCCTCCATTCGTCTCCGTTTGTTCAATTCAATGTCACGAATAAAAAAAAAAAAAAAAAGAAAAAAAAAAGGAAAAAAAAGAAGAGAGAGAGAGAGACAGAAAAAAGAGAAAGAACAAAGATAATAGAATTAAAAGAAAAAATTTATCGAAATGGACAAACGAAATCGATAGTGAAAAATACTTTCGAATGAATCTTGATAATTCACGATGTATTTATTTGAGTTTTGTTTTAATACGGATCATCCGAAAATGGCGAGAATTTATGCGTCGTTTCTCACTCGCTCGTTATAGGTGACGAAACGGAACGAAACGAGACGAGACGAGACGAGGCATGCGCCCTGGCAAAAGTACCGAAAATATACGTGCGGATGGCGAATGTGCGCGCGGTCGATACAAGCCACCGCACCACCAAACCTGCCGCGTAAATTTTGTTAAATCGAACCGCTTTCGAAAATCTACGATCGCACCAACGATCCCTGCTCCTCCTCCTTCTATTCCTCCTATCCCTTCCTACCCTTCTCCTCCTCCTTCTATTCATCCTAACCCTTTCTACCCTCCTCCTCTTCCTCTACCAACCACTTTGTGATTCTCTCTATTTCTATAGTCTCTCTGTATTTTCTCTATCTCTATCTCTCTCTCTCTCTCTCTCTCTCTCTCTCTCTCTCTCTCTCTCTCTCTCTTTTTCTCTTTCTCTCTCACACGTACATACATATGCACACATTCGATATCTCTTTCTTTCTCTCTCTTTTTGTTATATGACGGAAATTTTGTCGAAATTTTAACAAAACTTTATAAAATATACGCGACAGAAGCAGGAATTAAACATCGATCGGAAAAGTAGTGTTTAATTTCTTCAGTACATGATTTATTTATTTATTTATTTATTTATTTATTTATTTATTTATTCATTTATTTATTCATTTATTTATTCATTTATTTATTTATTTATTTATTCATCGTTCGATTTTCTTTATTCCTTTTTACCTTTATAAACGTTTCAAAAAAAGAATGTATATGATACAACAATTATCGTATTTTACGTTAAAGTGGTAGTAATATAAAATTTAGATTATTATTACCATCATCATCATCATCATCATCATCATTATTTTGCCATATGAAATTTAATGAAAAATATGTTCCATATATAGTACGATATATTAAATTTGTCAATGTACATTGAAATGCATATATATGTATGAACTATATTTCCATTCAAAGTATAAATATAAACTCGAATTAAATATCGATCAGAAAAGAATCGTTTAGTCTTTTAATAGATGATCTATTTTTTTTTTTTTTTTATTTTTTTTGTAGAAATGTTTCAAAAAAAGGAAATGTACATATACATATAACAATGTTATATGTATATATACATATAACAATTCAAGGATTAAACCGATAAATTAATTTATCAATAAAAATTACGATCAAACAAAAATTTCTATGTTCTTACGTATGAGTCCAATGATTATGAAAGTTGTCCGACGATAAATCATTTAAGAGGTGTTAAAAAAAAAAAATAATAATAATAATAATAATAATTTTTCCAAAATAATTCAAACCCGAATGAGAAATATCTCAAAATGAGAAAATATATGACTTTACAATTAGAGATCACTTTGATATATCATATCTGGTTAATCATACTCGTAATTGATACATACGAAAAATATGATATTTCGTACTTTGACAAACTTGACATTAAAAACTCCACAAATTTGTATACCTACAAACTTATTAAGTAAAAAAAAAAAAAAAAAAAAAAAAAACTCGACCGTGTTAATTGAATTAATTATCATATATAAGCGATAATGAACAATTATCGATCGTCTTGTCATTAATTCAACGTGATAATATGTGTGTTTATATGCGTATATATCATCAATTATATATAATAAACCTAAATGACTCCTTAATCCGATTAAGGATTAAATGGTGATAACACGTTGAATACCATGACAATCGAAGTATCATTGAAAATGTTTCTAAACTCTGTTTACCACATCATCGTGTTAATCAACGTTCGATAATTTTAATTGTATTACTTGATGAATCTCAATGCAACTTCAAATTGACTTAAGCGTAAATCGTGATTGTCACAATTGCCAATTAAAATGTTCCCTTCGTAATCCCGTTTATCATAAATGTAATTAAATTTTACTTCGATACAGAATATATATATATATATATATATATATATATATATATATATATATGTATATATCATATATATACGTACATATCATATATACGTATATACGTATTTGTAAAAAAGTTTTAAAATTCTATTTCGAAAAATTGTATCCTACGGTAAAAAAAAAAAAAAAAAAAAAAGAAAGAACAAAAAAGAGAGAGAAAAATAAATATCTCTAGCAATTGAACACGCATGCACGCAAACAAGCAAGTATACACACAAAAAAAGTTATTCCATAAACTTTTATCCTTTCCCTAAATAATAAATAAATTTTTTAAGGAGTCTCGCTTAATTATTTTTAACGACATTTATATTTAATTATACGATACACCTGAATATATATTTTTTAAATCGTGTTAAATACTATCTCGCTATAAAAGTTATATCTCGAAAATGAAGATATATTCATTTTCAAGGATATCCTAAGTTAAATGTAACATCGTAAAAATGTTCAGGAATACTTTTTTGTTATATACTTTCGAAGAAAGAACATCAGAAACATTGGACTTTTAATGTATAAAAGATATTTGTAATTTTTCATATCTTTCACTTTCTTCCATTTTACTCTACCATTCTCATGGCTTTTCATATCTTTTTATCTGAGCGCGATCATTTAATATTCTTTTAAATAAAATGATATAACGAATGGATTAAAAAAAAAAAAAAAAAATATTCTCCAAAAATAATCTAACGAAAGGACGAAATATTTAAGATTGAATCGATTATATAAGTATAGATACTTTTGTAAATTAATTCGAGAATTGAAATCATCGAGATTGAATTTCTCATTGTTAATGAATAATATTTTCGTGTCCCTGGTCTTACTCTCTTTCGAAGGTTCGAAAGTGTCAAGAACACTTGTAGCATGCTCGTTAGCACGCTATAAACGATAACACACCTAACAACATCTGGCCATTTCGCATAATAAACGTCTCACATATATTCAGTTTTGTACATAATTGATTCTTCGGTTTATCGAAGTTCACGCAAAAAAAAAAAATAATA